GTCCCTGCATGGAGCTGAAGTGCAACATCCCCAACAACCTGCAATCGAACATTTCAAAATTGAATCGGAAAATATGCATCCAAGAAAAATTTACATTACAAACCGGACATTATGAGACAATCTAATCTACCTTAGCCATGACTTCATAGGACCATTTAGTAACTCCAGCAATGTGATTCGTATATATAACATTAGGGAGCTTTAGAATCGAGTCGTTTGGATCAAAAGGTTCGATCCAAGCAACATCAGTCCCTAAGCCTCCTAAGTGGCCTGATTCAAGATTGTGAAGCACGGCTTCATAATCCAGCAGTCCCCCTCGTGCTATGTTTATGAGTAAAGCCCCCTATAAAAATCACAAACCGAATGATATCTAAAAGCTGTCGAGATTTATATCAAAACAGAAATGTTGAGTCGATAATGAAGTCTGACAAAAACCTTTTTCATGGAAGATATGAAAGTCTTGTTCACGATACCAACCTGAAAACAGTCACATGCGAAAAAAGGTATAATCTTTGTAAATATACTGAAAAATAATATGCGGGGAAAAAAATATGCATGGAAATGGGGAAAAGATCAGTTATTACCGTTTCACTGTTCATTGTCAGACAACATACAACTATGTCAGCACGGCTTGCAAATTTTATAATATCTTCATGTGTTCCCTTCTCATCTACAAGGTCATCATAGGTCCCGTTGCAAATATTCGCTACTGAATCTAATAAGTACCGAGTTAGTATTTTTATTCAGGTAGGAGTTTCGCAATTTTTTTGGTTCAAATTAAATAGTGAAGCTTCGTACAGTTAGGCTGGCTTGAGCTCTGAGAAGATGAAGGCCAACTCCTTTTAGTAGCGATAATTTTCACACCAAAGGGCCGCAATAGCTTTGCTAAGTGGACCCCGATATTTCCAAAGCCCAAAATGAAAATCTACATAAAGGCACACATTGTTTAACTTTGCCATTGTGTGTAGAATAAAGTAAAAGTTGCAATTTTAGAAGTGAAATAACAAATAGAAACAATTCACCGTTTTCCCAAGCAATGTGTCACCCATCGGACTGCCAAGGTTTTTCTCCTTCACAGCAACCTGAATTTCATTCTAATGTAATGGAAAAAAACAATACGAGGTAAATCAGTACAGTTAAAGAACCAATTTCGAGTTTATACGCTACACTAATTAGTAATTTCACGTGCTATCAGCAACATGCTGAAAATTTATTTTTGTTTGGAGTTCTAAATGTGTTTTTACCAACTTATGAACCAAGTAAATATGAACTTTCGAGACTCTTCAATATCTAAAGAAACTCACTTGCTTACGAAGAAGGCCCAACATCAGATAAACGGACATTTCTGCACAAGAATGTGCATTTCCAGTGTCATGGCTCGGGATCCTGCCAACCTTAATTCCATGACTTGATGCAGCACTTAGGTCAACACCTTCATGTAAGAAAAACTCAAAAATAAACCATATGCTTTAGGTAAAAGGGATTTCATTCAAAAAGAGTCGAATACTGTGTATAGTGCTGAAGGAGAACCTTCTATCCCCACTCCGTATTGCATAATAAGCTTCATTTTGCTTGCTCTAGCAATGATATCCGAAGTTAGCTTCATATTTTTTACAATGCAAATATCATACTTTCCAATGACGTCAGGGACATCATCAAAGGGGACCACATCTACCTAAAAGAACACAAAAACAAGACATTGAGAGGATGCACAATGAGGAACGAGGCAAGCTTCATTGATATTTATTTCTAACAAATAAGCACAAATCGAACAAGTAATATCCCTTTGTTTTGTTCTGTCTCTTGGCTTAAGTTTTATCACACAGATTCAGAATTAACGAAGTAATTTATTTAAAAATTATGCACGCCAAGTTTCGCTTATCCAGATTTACTCAAATAGTAATGAACTATTCCATGATTTCATCCACCCAAAGTCTTACAAAATTCTTTCATTTATCCAACTAATTCAATATGCAAAACATTTACTATAAACAAGATTAAGGGTAAAAACTGAAAATTGAAAACTAGTTCTCTTTGGTTCTAAAAACGAAAAATAGAATGAAACAAGTTTTATTTCGAAAAGTCCCGGATAGGAACAAATGGAAATGGAGGGAGTAGCTGTAATAATGAGAAATAAACGAAAACTGCAAGCATATTAAACGAGATGAAGCACCTGTATAAATGGATAGCTTTGCAAATACTCTCGAGTAAGATTATGCGATCCGGGGAAATAAGGTCCACAGAAAAGAACACGAGTGATGGACTCACCACTGTCACCAGTCATATCTTGAAATTTTCTCATCAAAACTGCATCATATGAGCAATGAAATCAAAACTCAAACTAAAAGATTATGCATACTAATGTCTGTATGAAATAGAACACCTGCATAATAACTTATACATCTTTCGAATCTCTCGAATCTTGAGTTGTTGGGATTGGGATATTGTTCACCATTTCACGTCAGTATTTTAATTTATACCTTCCGCATTTGTGCATCTGAGCCTAACATAGCATTAGGATTTTACAAACTCACTGTTTACAAACCAAATGCAAGTAGGTAATTTAAGCGTCAACAAAGAAATGTTCTTTTTTTCCACAGAGCAGAAACCCATTACTAATTTACCACAAAAAACTCGTAATCTTTAAGAAAAACTCAAGCTTGCACAACCTCAAAACACGAATTAAGGCAAATGTCAACCACAGAACAGTGTACTGTAAGAACATGAA